CAAGCAACGCAAACAAGGAAGAGGAGCAGCAGCAAGCGCCGAAGGAGGCGCTAAAACAGTTACACAGGCTGAGGCTGGATGATGGTATGATTTTGGCGCTTGGTTAAACATAATTTGTAGCCTCGGCACGTTATTTAGCACAATAGCTGTACAGGGGGAATTTTGTGAGATCCTCTCCTGTAGACTGGTTCTGGTGCCGCAAGTGCGTTCACACGTTTTGTGTTTGTGTGCCACAAAGCTTGTTGTTGAAGTTTTTGCTTTTGTTGTGATGCCGTTGTCCTGCAGCGGTGGACTCCGTATCGCGCGGTTTGCAGTCTTGGCTGAAACGGGGCTCTTCTGATACAGACAACTCAGGCATTTTCCCATCAAGGGCAGGAGGCGGTGCTTCTTCTGGCGCAAGCAAGGGTGTAACAGCTGTTGCTGCGGCTGGTAGCGGACTAGCAGAGGCCTGGGCTAAGCAGGTAGGGCACGTTAGTGCTCTAATCGGCCAGCGTGTCGAATCAGTGCAGCGAGCTTCGCAGGCAGCGGCTTCTTCGCAGAGGAATGGGAAACAGTCCTCTGCAAACGCACCGGCAAGCCTCATTGCCGACTAGGGGCAACGGCTGATGCAGACCGCCTGTCTGCGGTTTATGAGGATCCCTTCCAATTGGGACTTTATCGTACACGTGGTGCTGTGGCTGATTGCTTCATGTTAAAGTGCATTGAGCAAGACTTTGGCTAGTTGCGTCTTGGTGAATGCAACGTTGTCGTCCCACGTCGAGAAGAACAGGACAAATGGGTTACATCATCTTTCTCAGCGTAAAGCAACATGGTGAACAGGAGTCTGAAGATGCGACCCTTTAAATGTGGAACTCCCGAGCAACGTGCATCGGGTGGGGACTCGCCACATGCACCATAAGAGAAACGGACCAGAATTGCGGAGCTAATTGGGAGAGTCGATACCAGTTCCCCTTTGCAGCGTATCGCTTAGATTGCATTCAAACGGTGCTTAGAGCTGTCACTGGCATATAAGGAATGCCGCCCCTGTTTCGGGTCGCAGCAATTATTATTAACCACTTGAAGTGCCTGAATCTGCTCTAGTTGAACTGCGTGTATACACTAACTCCATCCAACGGGCTGCNAACCACTTGAAGTGCCTGAATCTGCTCTAGTTGAACTGCGTGTATACACTAACTCCATCCAACGGGCTGCTCTAGCGTGCGCTGCTAGCAGAGAAACAGCCTCAAAAGGGGATGACTTCACAATGGCTTTTGATGGGACTCCAGCTCCGTCACTATTACGCCACACATGCGCATTGGCTGTGGTAGCCCTGGCGTGTAAAGTCGCCCTTATCCCGTCCGTATGGGGCACACTTTCCTAACTACGCGCCTTCGACAAACAGTTGTCGCAGTTCAGACTAGAAAAAAAAGGAGAGTCTATCGGCCTCAAGTATCCGGCTCCCTGTGGGCCAACAGAGTGCGTATGGCTGACTTCACTACTGAAGCCTTCAGTGCCTGTTCTGCACTGCTCTTGCCGGCGGAATCCACAGATATGGTTGGCAAAACGACATCTTGCAGTATCGTGATAAACGCCTCGCATATATCGCTCATTGACCCAAGGCATTTAAAGTATGCAACTGCGGACTCTTTCCAGTCCTCCCTTGCTGGCAAGGGTGAGCCTGCCGCTGTCGGACAGCAAAGAAGCTCAACGCAAATCTGCAAAAAGGGCGACACCATCCATGAAGCAAATGCAGGCCAATGTAGAACATGCACTTCTTACCAACGTACCTATGATATGAACGTCAGAGGTGGCAGGCTATCACGCGCGGTACGCGCGTCATTATGTCTGGTAACACGAGACTGGTGAATATTGGGAGGTGTACGAATTCAAGCCATGCGACAACAAATTCTCAAGTTAAACTGCTGCGCAACTCTCCGCTACATCGGAAGAAACTTACCTCTCGCAGAAATATCCCAAGTTTCCCCGACAGTCCCATGGGGCCTTGCTTTTCTCCTGCGCTGTCGAAGTTCAAGAAACGGACAATGCGCAAATCCGCAATATGCAGCCGGATCTGAAATACAGAAGCATACGAAATAGAGGTGAGGCGCTCCTGTGGGGGTCAGCCACGATGTCGGTCACAACAGTCAAAAATATTGCGTACACCAGTCCAGCATATCGTGCGAAGGAAAGACCACAGGATCACCTTCCTCGGGCTGGCTGCTTATTCCACCCACTGCTTTAGTTAGAGAAAATGGCTTACCAGGAAAGCAGTGAGCTTTGCCAGGTTAAGGAGTCGTCTTACGGAGAATCCGTGGGCAGCCGAAGCCTGGGCAGCAAGTCCCCTCTGTACGGTGCGGCGGTACCGAGCCGCTCCTTTTTCGCAGACAAGGAAACACTTGCATACAGCGTTATTCCCATTTTGGGCCGCTTGGCAAACGCAAATGCCACAGAGGCGAGATAGCACCATCCCGTAAAACTGGTTATAAAACTTTTCTTGCAAGCAGCACTGCATCGCGACAGCAACAGTCTGAGTTATCTGAAGAACAAACAGAACACACAAGCCTGACCAACCATGCAGAATGGACCTTGAAGCTGTTGCAACTCTGATGCTGCCTTGAAGGCTTCCGGTTTGCTTTGGAACGAAGAGCACCGTTGTCCATCCGATCACTTTCAGTGGAAAGTGATCAGTCCATCCGATCACTTCCTGTGGAAAGCAGTAGGTTATCCTTTATGCTGCACTCACTGCGCATTGCACTGGTTGGGTGGAAGCTCACTTACAATAACTTTTTTCAATGACAGATGGCCGGAGTTCTGTAACAGTTGAAGGGCATGATCTGGACTGTTGGCTGTTACAAAACACTCGAACAGGCTCTGCTGCAGCTCCGTGTTAAACCTGCGTGCACGCGCGATTAGTGAAACGTGAGATGACGCTGAAATTGCAAGGTACACTTGACCATCCCACAGGAGGGGATTTTTCCAGTGCTCACCGGCCGCCAGGGCACCGCAAGTTTACCTCACAACTACAATTTGCATTGGAGCACCTTCTACTAGTTCCATACCTCAGAAGTGCTGCCTGTTGCCGGNCTCACAACTACAATTTGCATTGGAGCACCTTCTACTAGTTCCATACCTCAGAAGTGCTGCCTGTTGCCGGAGGCTGTTTGCCGCCGCTCCACTTGCGAATGCATCTGGAGCGCTTTTGAAATCCCCTGCTTGCAGCTGCTGCTGTTGTTGGCAGTGAGCAGCGACGGCGGCTTTTTTTGATAGCTCTGGACGGTGGCCTTGTTCTAAATCTTCCCATGATCCACTTATCTGGAATTGCGTGGAGAGGAAGCTGGAACCGAAAACAGTGCTGCTGCTCAGCCAGCGCCTGCAACATCGAAAGCAAGCTGGCCGCGAAGACGATTACGGACATAAAATGCTACACATACGACGGGGATGCGAAGGTTAGAATTCTATCATTACCCGTCAAGCGCGCCGAGGGTAGCCAACCTCAAGCACCGCCTTCGCAACTGCTCACCTCAGGGCAGTCTGCGATGCCTTGATGAGCATTAGCCTTCCCTTTTGTTTGCCGGATTTTAGGTCCTGCAGCTCTAGAAGTAAAGCTCTCAGACGCCCTGTCGATGCACCAGCACCACATCAATTAGCCACAAGACAGTTTAGAAGCAATATTCACTAAAGTCAGTTTGCAGGAGCAGGTGTTGCGTGCGCACTGCGTATTTTCCAGCGTCTCACCCGCCTCAGCTACGTTCCCCTCTAGAGCATCAAGACGTTGCGATCGGCCGTTGCCTTGATGCTGCACCACGCATTCAAGCGTTTTCCACGTCGTGGTGAAGAGCGGCGTGTCATCTTGACGGAGCTTTTCGCCTCCCAATCGGAGAAGCAAAAGCAATAGCTCTATTCGGAAATCTGTGAGCTCGACGACGTGCTCGTCCATGGCCTTGGGACCTCTTCGGATGCCAGAAACTCGCCAGATTAGCTCCACAAATAGGCGTGGTGAGACGAAGCCAAAATCATACAAGCAGCAAACTCCCACGACTGCGTGGCGAGTTGTTAACGAGGCTGTGTCTGCCGCCACGGCTTCTGGTTGCTCAGTCCGTTGTATCAAGGCCCTGGCAAAATTGCTGGAGAAGCAGACAGCCAGTGCTGCGAGAACGTCCCGACAAAGCTGAACACATGCAGATGTCCACATAGCTCGCCGACGTCAGTTGACTTCTGCTCTGATCTTGCAGCAAAAAAAGGCTCCTGCGTGACGACAAAAGCCAAAAGCAAATGCCGACATTTTACAAGTGAGATGCCCCCCCATCCCTCCTTCGCGTAGACCTCACTTCAATATCCCACGTCTTCCCAAGGGCACAGCACAAGGCCGTTTGAGTGGCAATAAGCGAATTAGTTGAGAAACGGCTGTGTATGCAGGACTGCATCAACTGGTCACACAAGACCCCTCGCACACCAACAGTATATTTCCTTAGGAATTCGGCGGCTTCACCCTTCTGGATCTGGCGTCGAAGCTGCATCAAGACGACGCAAAGCACAACCAACAATACCACTTGGCTCTAAAGCCCTTGTCACCCGAATATTCACGCCTGTCACCACGTATAGGATTCGCTATGGGTTACAAGTGAGGGGAACTGCACAGAAGGCACCGAGTCTTCATTGCCCAAAGAAGCTCCAGAAGTCCATTACTCACGCCAGCAGCACTTTGCTGTATGACATGCAACAGCTGACGGAAAACAGGATCCACGTTGCCTTCAGAAACCCGGTTCAATGCGCGTACGACTTCAATCCTAACTGCCTCCAGAGCCGCCTTGCTTGAGGCTGTTTCAGAGCCATCTGTAGCTTCCCGGCGGCGGTGCGGGGCCACGTAGACACTAGAGACAGGGCCGCCCTCCNCAAGTAGACCCTGCTTCTGAATCGGCAACCCCCACGGAAGCACTGTCGGATTCCCCTTCAGACTCTCCCATCTCGTCCCCCTCTGCAGCGCAGCAAACGAATGTGGCAACTGCGGCAGATTTAGAGTCGACATCGAACCCCATGAAATATATAGTCCCACAAGTGGGTCCTGTGCATACGAAGAAACTGCCCTCTACTGCGCGCCTATTTCTTAAGCACCTTTTGAACATGACATTTTTTGTCATCACGAGGGCTCACCAACTGATTTGTCAGGGTCAGAGCTTTCGACTTCCGTTGCACCACTACCCTGCGAAAACGACCAACAATTGCCCTACAACTTTTAATGATCCAGTGGGACCACGATCAAAAAGGCACTACCTCGTAAATGCATTTACATACAGCGAAACAGCTCGTGTTTCATCCGTTATGCCAGAGTAAGTGAAGCTCACTAGGATTCCGTCCAAAACATCCTGCAGCTCTAAGTCGAAGCCGTCTGCCTCCAGCTCCTCTCTGAGTTTTCTTCTTTTCTTTTCTCTGGCCTCCTTCGTTTTACTTGAACCACTTGAGCTTATGCCAAGCCGTCTTTCAAGTATCCTTAACTCTTCACGAAGGGGGTCGTAACTGTGCTTCTGCTCTCTTTCCTGGTCCTCTTTCAAAGCCGCAGCTGCAGCTCCAATACTTCCGCTTGCCCGTGACGCTTCGTACCTCGCGCGCCTATCACCAGGCATCTTGAGTTCCTTTGGTTTACTGAGTAAGGGCTTTCTAGAGGAGTTTCCGCCTGCAGAGGGAGACAGCCAAGTGGCATGACAACGAAACTGCACCAAAAGCTTTAGTGTGAAGCGCCTCCACAGACTGGATAGTAGCTGAACCCAGCGTCACATCCCTAATATGCATCCAGGGCACNTGTGAAGCGCCTCCACAGACTGGATAGTAGCTGAACCCAGCGTCACATCCCTAATATGCATCCAGGGCACGTGGACTCTGGAGTCATCACTCTAGCCTTTTTCGGTGGCGCATTGAACCAGCAAGCTCCCTCCAACCTTCCTGCCGAAGCATGGGTGTCGGCGCAACTACATATATTCATGCATGCCTCATGAATATATATAGGCTAAAATTCGAACAGCGTGACCACACAACAAGTATCTGGGGTTTGAATGCTGCACTTACAGCCTATGTTCACTGGGTGACTAGCCTCAGTCCTGTTTCCCTCCTGAAAAGTAAAGCCACATCAACAGCAGGCTCTCAGCCTACAGACGCCATTCAAATGTCAAACATCGCACTGCACGTTAGAGATGGGTGTATAGGCTGCTATGTGGAGGAATTAGCAGCATGGAAAAGTGCAGCAGATTTCGCTCCAGTCAAGTTGCACAGCCACTGGGGCCCTACCAAGATATCCTGTAACTGCAAATCAAAGTCATCAGCCTTCAGCTCGTTTCTCACCTTGGCTCTTGCTCGCGATGATTCTGCAGAATCCACTTTGTCGCCCCTAATGCCCAAACTCCCTTCAAGTTCACGCTGCAGCGCAGTGTCGCCGTGTCGTTGCCGTTTACGCGCCTCCCGCAGGGTTACATCTGCTTCATCTATACTGTCGCTGTCCTGCGAAGTTTCATGCGTTGAAGTTTCACTGTCTAGGTGGTCTAGCCCTTCTTCATCAACCCTTGTGAACCNTGCGAAGTTTCATGCGTTGAAGTTTCACTGTCTAGGTGGTCTAGCCCTTCTTCATCAACCCTTGTGAACCCAACTCCCTCTGATCCCGAAGTTCGTTGCTTTGGCGGTCGTTCATTCTTTCTCTCCCCACTGCTATACTGCTGACACGCCACAGCGGCAACTCCCTGTTGCATGCGTTGCCTCTTCCTCAGCTTCTGATGTTCTTTCTTCTGCTGCCGCTGCTGCGCACGCAGTTGTTTTCTACGCTCCTTTCGGGACAACTGTCGGCGTTGTGCTGGCTGGCCGTAAGGCTGCGACGTCTGTTCCGTTCCTGCGGCAAGTAAAGTACACAACTAGCGATTCGCGCCTCTGGAAAGCCCAGGAGTGGGCAGTGTGGTCAGTACATTGTATACAATGAAACACGCGCGAAAGGAAGTCAACTTCCGACTTGCCATCTGAGGATCCATCAGAACCATAGCCGGCATCACTAGCTTCTCGATCTACAAGTTCTTTGCGAAGAGATGAAGGAATCCTCGTAGAGTTCCGACTTCTACGAAGTGACTCTGCTCGGCCTCCCCGCGTGCGACCCCGTCCAAACCCCATTGCCACGAAGCTGGATATTGGACTGCAGGCGACAGGACACTTCCACCTGGTGGGCTACCAACGGATCATTTAATGAAGCAATGCAAGAAATTGTATGACTGGTGCTGGAAGGATGGCGCGTGTTCTACTTGCAAAGAACTAATCCCTTCAGTTATGTCGATCTACCGTTGATGCACCCAATTTCTGGGACCCCGCCCTATCCACTGAATGGCTGGCAGATGTGCGTAACCATACAAAATGCTCAAAATAATATATTTTCATTGGTTCTAAAGTGGACAATAATCGTACTCTATGTAACAACAATATGTGCCCCTGGGGGCCCCCCTGCATGCACCAAGTTGGGAAATCGATTCGGAGTCGGCTCATCTGAAAGATTTATGTCGCCGTTTCAGCACTGCAATTCTGTGAAACTGCATCTGCAACATTCTACATGGGCTTATATTCAAAGAAGGCTAAGTACTTAGAGCCCAGGACATGCGCCTATTTCAGGCCAGAACTGATCCTGCACTCTGTCTCCGCATCCACGAGCATTTTGTCGGGAATCAGCTACTGAAGCTTTGGGCATAAAAAGACATAATCCGAGATTTTTACTAAACGTTTCTCGGGTTGATTGCTTGGCAACCAACGAGGATGCTTTAACGCGGGCCGAACAATACGATGTTTGACTCCGCTTGAGCGTCCGCAGAACCCAATGCGCATTCCCAGATGTGCTGGGGACAGAGATGCACACAGGGGGTTATGAAGTGGACACGAGTGATTGTTGCAAATTAATTCCGCGAATATACACAGGATATGGTTGACTTCGACGCGGATTCGAACCGTATTCAGGTCTACACCTTGGGATAGATTTATCAGGGGAGCTATGTCTGCTTGTCTCAACTCCACTGGAGCCAGGCAACACCTGGATACAGCACCAGGCGCTGAATAACGTGTATCGTGCAAAGCGCCATGTGCTAAAAAGGTTGGGTCTTGAGCCGAGCGAAGTCCGCTCAACCAAGAGAGAATCAATCCACCCGCATCCATCTGCTTGTACAGTTGCGGATCGTGGAGACTTACAGTTTAAAAAAGGCTAAGCTATACTGAGGCCGCGCGACGGCTGGGGACCTTTGTGCTATGACCTCAATAAAAACATGCAAACAGCCCCGGCAATTTGCCAAAAGCGGACATAGGAAGCTGTTATTAACGCCGCTTTTGATGAAATGGCGCAGTGATGTGGCCACGGTAGATCTCCTTGTGTAACTGACGAGCACGAAGTCAAAGTCCGCCAGAAGACTCGTTTTCATCTGCCATGTTAGCGCTGTGCCGGACTAACACATTGACAAAAGCAGAAGCTCTGGTGTCGTTTCCAATGGATATCTGGACTTCCATACACAGGGCCCAACAGCGTTGCCGTCCCACGGCTTAGTAGTTTGTGGCGGCGGTGCTACACAATTTATGCGCATGTATGGAGCTTCGGAAAACTTACAGCATTATAAGTCACAACCAAAGAAAGTCAGAAGTTGAGAGTTATATGATTGCTTTCAAGAATGGGATTCCTGTGCTTGTGGTTGATAGAGGGCTATACAAGTGTCGGTGCCTCCCAGAAGTCTCCCTTGGCGGCAACTCGGCACTGCACGTTGCTACTAGATATTCACCGCATCGTCCGTCTTAGGATAGTCAAGCAAATTTGTTTCTGCAAAGGCACATGGACAAACCGAGCGACACCGTTTCACTAGAGTAGCTGTGCCATATGTGGCGGTAGGGTGTGCTGGCACACGAAGCCCACAGACTACCCCTATGCAAACAAAGACGAAGCGTATATTTGACGAAACGCAACAACCCTAGTAAGTTCGAGCATCCATACATGGCAAGCGCGGTGATCTTCTTACAATTCTGCAACGGTAGAGGGTGTACTGCCTAAGATATCTTAGTACAACCGCACCATCCCACACGGGACAAATTCAAGGAACTCAGCCGAGTACGAGCTGTGAATGACTAGATAACACTATTGATCCTGTACCTGCACCAATGGGGACCACGTGCGTAAGGAGTCCTCGATCTTAGTCAGGCACCGTCCTCTATAAACTCAAAGCACTTGAAATGAAAGTTCACAGGGTACCTGTAGGGGAGGTCGGTTGCGGTTGGTGACACCAAAGTACTTAGACTTGGACTGGAGAGGAAAACAGTCTCAAGGCGTCATGAGCGCAAGCACAACCGAACAAGCGAATAAGGCCGATGCGCAGAGGATGCAGCCTCTCTCAAGGTGTAGCGCACCCTGCAGCAACTCCTGACGCAAGCAGGACGCCCACGCACGTATACGCATCTCATCTTGTGGTGCATGCCATAACGCTGTATACAGTTGGAAGACTGCTACATGTCTCAGTATCCGGCCTCCAAGCAAGTGAAAACAGACGTATCAACTTAGTCAAATCGTGCTACAAGGGCCGTGGTGGCGCGCATTACAATACAGCTGATATGGATAACCTGGCGTTTCGAAAATTATTCCGTTTTCCCCAACTTTGCACGTCAAATACGTTAAGTGAAGGCTTGGGGTTAGGTGGTGCTATAAATAGGAGATACGTCTTCACGGTCTTGTATGGTGCTGTGTTTATGCCGTCGGCTCACCTATCCTTAGCGTTGGAGCTAGACCGCTGTCACTGCCTGAATGGGAGATAAGACTAGTGCAATGTCTGTCAGTCGAAATTGTAGATTTGAGGAGGATCGAATGAATTAATTAGGGAATTTAGTTATCTGCATCGTTGCAAGGGTTTTGCTGCCCAGTGGTTTCGTGGGGCTAAACGGGGTTGGTGGGGTCGATGGCTGTTCCACCACAACGAATTCAGTGTTCTTTAAGAAAGCCTCCTTAAGAGAGTCTCTCATACAATTACGTCCTTTTATGTCAAAAGGATAAATTTTGAGAAGACAATATGGTTAATATCTGCCCGACTTTTCTCCCTTTGCCTTGTGGATGAACCACTCACCCGAGGAACACCTCCGCGACCCCCCCGTGCTTCCTTCTCCATTTTGTTAGCCGAACAGTTTTTCATTACACGAGGGAAGAAATTACCATTCTAGTTTTTTGGCGTGGCCCAGATGAGGGGTCCAGACAAAGAACACTTATCTATTTTTTCAAAACTCCGTTGACCTGAGGTGGGAAGCGCCAGCAGGAGACTGCATGTGACGCTGAAAAGAAGGAAAACAAGTCAGACGTACGGTACTTCATTGGTTGAGGCAACATCTGGCCCTGCGATTTAAGTAATTACGCCTCTAGGGGATCTGCGCGTTTCGTCTTGCCTCGCGCTGTTTTCCGGACCTACAAATGAAGTCAGCTTCGGTCCTTGCATTTCCGCCTACTGGATCCAGGGGAGTGGTTTATACATTCAATTTGAGCGGGAACTCTCCGGGAATTAGCGAGCTGCAACTTTACCCATCTACCCGGCGACAGCAACCCGCAGCTTCACGATGCGGCGTGTCCTGAACCCCAAGCCTCCGTAAGTCCATATAGTCCTTTCTCCTCATGCAGAAAATCAGGTGAATGGTACACGGGGATCAGTTCGTACATTGTTACCATATGGATTGCGTGTAGGGAGGGGGATGCGGCTCATGGCCGGGGAGCTGAGTCGACTGGACCGTCACTGTGCCTCGTTAGAGCTCCATTAATGCCCCTTCTGACGGTCGAGGCTGGGTCTTCTATTTTATTCAAGCCTTTCAAAAGCCCACTAAAGGGCCATCTTCCAGGCAAGCCGGGACGCCTTGTGCATTTCCCACTCAACCTATGGGGAACAGTGCTTTGGAATAGCACTTCTTTGCTGCCCAAGAACCCAGCGCAAAATCTACCAAGCGTTTCCGATGATGGTTCTGATGTTAGAAGTGGGTGCCCATTCACTATTAGAAAGGGAATATATGTGTGATCTCGCAGGATGCAGCGAAGAGTCCCTTCGAAAGACGCTGGGGATCCGCATGAAACGTTCTGCATGCTTCCTTACCAATACCAAGCAATTCAAAAGTCCGCCGCCTCTTTCTCCGGCCGCTGCACCTGAAATCCCCGCCGGAGCTCCTCTTATTCTTTATGAACCCCAGAAAGCAGGCGAGCGTAAGGTAGAAGTAGACCCCATGCTGACGCGGTAAGCCCATTGATATTGGAAAAAGTAGTGTGTAGGATGTTCCTTCCGACGCCTAAACAACCAGTTTCATTCGGGACACATAGCTCAGTGCGCTTTCTACTTGTTTCCATTCGCCGGCTTGTTAGATTGCACTTTCCTGGAGCACTATATACTGTGTGGTACTTTTTGCTTACTGCGGGACTTAGGTGGCTACGCGAACATCAGAGGGAGGGTGTGCGCTTTGTATTTGAATGCCTGATGGGCCTCAAGGATTTCGACGGCTTCGGCTGCATTCTTGCAGACGATATGGGGCTAGGAAAAACTTTACAGAGTATTACAATCCTCTGGACTCTTCTGGAGCAGGGAATTGACGTTGTACCAGGCAAGCCGACCGATGCATGATCTGGGTGCATCAATGCATGGTCACTAGGGNCTCTGATGCTTTATTGCCTTAGCTGCACGGCGAGCTCTGGTAGTGTGTCCGGCATCTCTGGTCAACAACTGGGCTGCAGAGTTGCAAAAGTGGCTGCAAGGGCGATGTCCGTGCACTGCTGTAGCTGACAGCTGCAAAGACAAAGTTGTTTCGAAGTTTGAAGGCTTCAAATATGATCGCCAGGTACGCTGCCATTGCATGTAGCTCGTTGTACTTACTATGACGGCGGCCTGGAACCCTAGAACAGGCCAGATCCTTGTTGGACTCCGAGCTTCACGCTCCCAGTGCCACCTAGCGCGAGGCTTACGATGTGCTGTGCAAGAGATGTGGTGCACGAGAGACTTTTTGTATCTTTGCAAGCTCCAGTGTGTCGCATGAGCTTCTAGGCCGCTGCGCTTCTCATGCTCCACCTAGCACGAGCTCCCCATTTTTGGTTGAGGTCATGTGCCGAAGCTTTGCGTTGCATGCGTGTTCGCAGTCTCGCGTTCTCATTGCGAGCTACGAAACATTCAGAGCGCACGCGCATCGTGTTGCATCTGTCCCGATTGATCTTATCATCTGTGATGAAGCACATCGGCTGAAAAACGACAGGACGAAGACATCCGTCGCTATCAGCCAACTCCCCGCCAAACGCCGGCTCCTTCTCAGTGGCACTCCTATCCAAAATGATCTGGACGAATTTTTCTCCCTAGTGTCCCTCTGCAACCCCAATGTCCTTGGTAAGGGCTGTGCTGCTGCTCTGCAGGCTCCTATGAAACTTTTCTAGCTTGTCGGGGCTTATTCAGGATATTAACGAAAGGTGCCACTAGCTACATGTACCAGGCGACGGAACTAGATGACTATACGCCTTTGCACCTCAATAGTATCGCCGTCATCAAGTCTGCAACCATAAACAAGTGAAACGAAATAATGTGTGTTGGGGGGGTTGGGATGCGATTACTTAGGAGATGCGCATACATTTCGTAGACGTTATGCATCGCCTATTCTTGTTGGAAGAGAGCCTGGAGCGACGGAGTCTGAACAGGAACTTGCAGCTGAAAGGCTAACAGAACTGTCTTCTATTACGAACCTTTTTATTCTTCGGCGCACGAATGCCCTTCTGGCAAAAGTATTGCCTCCCAAGGTTATCATCGTGAGTTGCTCTGCTTTTAACTAACCTGCCGTGCACGGACTTGAATGCGTAGCCTCATGAGGGCGTGTAGTCTTCCTTTCTAGCAATTGCATAGGCTCTGGCGTGTGTGCGGATCTACTGAAACAGAATGTATTCTGCAACCTCACGCCACTGCAAGTTGCCTTTTATCAAGAATTTCTGAGGTCCAAATGGTAAGCTAATCTTGATATCGGCAGTTGCAAATGGCAACATATTGCGTCGGGAGCCATGAAGTGTGTTGCGTCTCTTTAGGGGACTTGACACAATCTACACTAATGTTACATTCTGGCCCATCCCAGTTTCGACAGTGATGTGGTGTAAAATAGTATAGCCATTTGTTGCTGCTTTTGGCGTGACCCTTAGCTGCAGAAAGATTTTAGACGCAGATGGTGTCGGTGGATCTTCGGGTGTCACTGGGAAGGTCCTATCGTCAATACAAGGACTCATGAAGCTGTGTAACCATCCCACGCTTGTTAAAAACCAGTCTCTCCTTCTTACGGTAAGTGAATTAAACAGATATCATGTTGCATTTCCATGCGCTCAGCCCACTGCTGCCGCAGAAAATGCATGAGCGTTTCCCTCAAATAGTCCAATATGGCGCTGTATGCTTGCGCATCGATCCTATAAAGACCAGTTAATGCGCTTGTACGCATTTTTGCCTGGAATATATTAATCGTCAGCCTGCACTTCCCAGAGGCACTAGATAAACCTTGGGAACAGCTCTTTCTGTGCCCACACCGAGGACTGTACTTGTGTTATTGCTGCGTTGTCATCGTCATCGTCCTTTCCAGGGTTTCGAGAAGTGCGCAAAGCTCTTTGAGGAACTAGACATAGAGGGCACAAAGGCCCGGGTTCGCTCAATCCGGCCCGACATGTCGGGGAAGATGCTGCTTCTTGCAAGGTGAGTAGTCGTTGTTTTGCCATTTCGCCCATCGCATTGCGGGAGCCTCCATGTTTGGTTGGTTATGAGACACGCTGACAGAAGAGTCCTTGCACGCTGTTGCAGGTGGCGGGAAAACTCGTAGCCAAGCACAACACTACCCCCCCTGCACTTCTTGTGTGTGTCTGCGTTCCTCTCTACGATCAACACAATATGGTACAACGATACATGGGCGTCTGTCATGTTGGTGTTGGTGAATTCAGTGAATTTGCAATTTGCGTGATTTGTTTCCACCAGGCTGTTACATGCCATCCGCGTGAATACAAGCGACAAGGTTGTTCTCATCAGTAACTACACACAAACCCTTGACTTATTTGAGCGACTCTGCAAGGATTCTGGTTATCCTTGCGTTCGCCTGGACGGCTCGACATCAATTAAGAAGCGCCACGATCTTATCACCGTACGGCATCTCTGGATTGCTGTCTTTTGTATAACACCTTTGCTCTGTGCTTGATATGATTTCGGCAGCACTTTTTCTCCTTGTGTATGGATCGTACGAACGCAGAAATTCAACGAGCCTAGTGGCTCGGCAGCTAACAGCTTCGCGTTCCTACTTAGCAGCAAGGCAGGGGGCTGCGGCGTGAACCTTGTAGGCGCTAACCGCCTCGTTCTCTTCGATCCAGACTGGAACCCGGCTAATGACAAACAGGTGTGCATGCATTATCAGACTACCGTTTTGGTGCCGATATAAGACGGCAGTCTAAGTAGTCTTTCGCTCATTTGTTACACCCACGCTGCCAGCACAAAGCGGCCAAAGAAAATCGACCGCGCTGGGTATCACTTGGGTCATTTTCTATGCAAGGCTTTGGCTCGTGTTTGGAGAGACGGCCAGAAGAAGACGTGTTATATTTATCGACTTTTTAGCACGGGGACTATAGAGGAGAAAATCTACCAGGTCAGCTGACTTAGTGCATACTGCATTGTGGGAATTGGAAGGCCAGTAAACTGTTGCAACTTGCTGGGCACCTCTCTTGTGAGATGTCGTTTGTATTGCGGGCGCATTTTCCAGAGGCAAATATGCAAGGACGGCCTTAGTGCCATGCTCGTCAGCGAAGGGGAGAACCAAATAAAGGACTCGTAAGCACTCGCGCAGCCTGCATGACCGGCAACGTTGTTCCTGAAGCAACCTGATTCAGCAGGCAGCAGATGGTTGCTGCCATTCTGTTGGTGTGCAGGCTTTCAACCGACATAGTGAAAGACTTATTTCAGCTCCGCGAAACGCGATCTGACACACACGATATGCTGGAATGTCGACGATGCAAACGTGAGGTTGCACTAAGCGCGCCAATGGCGCTGCTATTGCTGCGTCCCGATGAAGGCACACCGTTAAATTGCGCAGCTGAGGCACCGATGCATTGGGTTGAAGCGTACTAGAGAATCTGTAAAGGTATTGCAAACAGCGTAAGACGGTCGCTACGTGGGCCGGCAGTTTTTGTTGTGCAAAGTTATGAAGACCGTGTGGGTTACCATGCGCAGCAAAGGAAGACAGCGAACCGCTTGGAATGGTCCCACAGCTTTCAGATGGCTTTGAAGAAGACGGTACGATTTGAATCTTGAGAGCCTTTTTCCGCCGGTTGGGTTTTCCTGTGATCGGTCGGAAAGAGCTCAGGCATTTCCGTCCCAGTACACATTATCCCGCATCCCGACCTGTTGCAAATGCGTGGCCCTTTGAGCTTAGAATTGGAGGGCCTTACGGGAGGTTGTTCAGATAAATCCCTCTACCGCTGACGGTAACATCATCGGCTGGACAGAATTTTGCCGACTCTAAATTATGGTTGGGGATGCACGTTCGTGATTTCTCCGTGCAGATCTTCTCACCTGGGCGCATCACTCGGATTTGAAGACTGTCCCTGATGCAATGTTGCTCAAGGCAATTGAGGCAGAGCAGGAGAATACTCCAGAACGCACTTTGCTGGGATTAGGCATTTCAGAAGATGATAAAAGTTCTGATAATGTGAAGGAGGCGCCTGGCAATTTTCAGCCGGTGTCATTCGCAATGTCGTGCCGAGTCGAATTTAATAAAGAGGCCGAAGAGCTTTTGGCAGCCAACAAGGTGTGGATGCGACATCGGGCTTTACTTCCGCACAACTAGTTTGTCGTTTGAGCTTGATCACCGTATGCGTGTAGCTGCAGATGGAGGCTGGTTAAGAGCTCTGTCGGAATAGTTGTTCCGCTACGCAGCGCACTCAGATTTTTGACACAGAGCGGACCCCATAGCGCACAACGGTGCATTGCGTCTTCGTAATCTGTAAGTGCCTGCATTAGATGGTTGCGACTTTCACAGGTAAATGCGACATCAGTATCCGCGCTGAAGAAGAAGAAGGACGGAGCTGCGTCCAGTGCAGATGATGCTAAGCCAATTTCGGCAGCGTCTGCTCCTCTTCAGGGAGCCACAGCTCCAGAGGCTTCTTCATGTTTAACGAGTGTTCTTGTTGCGAAGCCATCCGGCAGGAATAATTCGATAGCTTCGTCTGATGGTGGGCATGATCTCAATGGCGAAATACCCACAGGTCTGCGCCCGGTAGTAGGCCCCATCGAACAGCCCATCAGTGATGGCAGCGCCTCAGAACTTTCCAGTTCCGGTGAAGGCACTACGACAAGTGACGATGACACGCATAGTGAGGATTCAGACGCAGTTATGGAAGAAAGCAGCGACAGCGGCTCGGAGTAGCAACGCTTCTGTGCACTTCCGGAAGTACGCGCGTCCGGCTTGTTCTCAACGCGAAATGGCAACAGCACCCAGTGGCTTATATTGGGCGGTTCGCTCTCGAATCCTTTGGTATCAGCAATATGAGGAGGACGTTATATGCACTTACTGCAACAGTCTTCTTGAGTTACCTGGTTCCAAAGTACTGGGCTTCACAGTAGTCAACAATAAACTATCGACGATTGCCAACAAACGTCGGCATAACTTACATTTGTCATCTAAGTTGCCCTATGCACCAGCTGCTTCGCCTCTGCGCCAGCACTGTGATGCTGAGACAAATAACCTTACATTTGTCATCTAAGTTGCCCCATGCGCAAGCAGCTTCGCCTCTGCGCCAGCAACTATGAATTACGTACAGAGCGATGCATGGATTGCATGATGAATAGACGTAGCCGTTGCGTACTGCATTGATGCCACGCATCATTCCGTTCTGCAAATGCTATGCAAAGGCCAAAAGCTGCAATGGGATGTTACTGCGGGAGTCGACAACCTAGCCCGAGATACTGCTGGTGTGCGCCCGATACATCATAGCCACCGTTCAGTAAAGACATGAAGGTGCGGCAGCAACATTGCAGAATTAGTCTGAAGGGCATGGCGCCTGCTTACGCTCATTCGCGGTTACCCGGGAGTCAGCTTCCTCAGGGAACCGTTTAGCTTCTATATTCACTCAGAAGGGACCTGCAACCCATTGGCGCAGTGCAGAGTGGTAGCCTATTACTACGCCATGCTGCGCACCATCAACATGAATGCTTCATGCCCTCGCGAGACACGGCGCTGTGTGTTTCTTGGTAGTTCAAAGGGCTCAAGTCTGCAACTACATGATCTGACGAGCGAGGTGCTGGCATCGCAGGGGCAGCCGTGATGTGGCACAATTGCGATATAAAAGTGCCAAAATGCCCACTCGCTAGCCTTTCTTTTTTCTGGCTTACTATTCAGAATTACTAACAAATACACTTTGGAAAATCTAGGCTGCTTGAGGCACATCTTATGACGCGTTCCCCATTCGGTTATCTCTATACATAACGGGTAGATACAGAAGTACCGGTGTGAACGAGACGTGGGGAGCTTTGGAGTCTTAGGGGGCTTCAAAAACTAGAGAGCTCATGTCTCTTTCGCATCAGAAAGCAGCCTAACCCCGTCTGAAATTTTGGATTACAAGAACTAACGAATGCCTTCCTAACCTAATGGTGTTGAGAGCTCCCCCCGAGTATATGATCAACGGAGCTATAATATATTTGAATCTCGGGCTCCATATCAGCGAACAAATGGCAATATGGACGAGCAAAAGCTGTACACTGAATCCGTTCATATGTATTTTACTTCCGTAAAATGCCGTAGAGGGCAGCACGCAAAGCAAATGTTTGATTGAAGACGTGACGCCTATTTAACAACGACACTGCAGACTTCAATCAGAGTGCGCTGTTTGCATACAAAAAATCATCGTTACCAAGACCATGCAGTACACTGCTGGTCAGCTTAGTCTCTCACAGGCGGCACCGCCTGCCAGGCCTGGCGCCTACCGCGAGAGACATATAGCAATGCCCAAAACAGCAGCGAGCATCGCTGCTAACAGAACCCCGGTAACAAAAAATATCAACGGCCCAAATAAAGCTATGACGATAAGCGTAAGCATTACAGTTAACACGTTGGCGAAGAATTTTCTCAGGCTAGAGCTCTTCCCCTTTCCCCTCCCAGCAGCTTGGCTTTGGCCAGCCACACCCGCACTTGCAACGATGAAATGAGAGGGCTCGGGCGTTCTTCTGAGGAGGGACATCAAGAGACTTACAGTCCAAAGAGCCAATAAAGCACGACTCAATCCATCTGAAGCTCCGTCGGAGGCTGCACGATGACCAATGAGGGTCCAGGTTAGAAGCAAGCCCAAAGCCAGCAGCTTCTGAATCCAAAAGACCCTGTCAGGAGGCCTGTGCAGTTTCTCTGGCAAATGACCCACGAGGTAAGCTTCCGTGATCACGACGGATCGGGTACCACCTTCAGGGGTTCTTTGTGGGCTGGCTTGCTCCACCAGACCCTTCTGCCGTGGCGAGATCTGAGTGTCCGCATGGAAAGGGAGAGGATGCTCTGGATAGGGAGATGCAGCACCTTCAGATATCTTGAAAGGCGTATCCAAATCTCCTATAATGGAATTGGTGTCCTTCGTGTTCCTAATGGAGTAATCTTCCGAAGCCTGGCTCAACTCTAGTAAATGTACATCGTCCGTGGAGGTCAGCTCCGGATATGCTGCATTGGCCTCACCGGGGATAATAACCACCGTAACGAGATACAACAATGCAAGATAACATCTTCGTTCACAATACCTGGAGGACATTTTGGTCGAAGGAATTCTACGACCAAGTAAAAGGCTGTTGGTCTGAACTAGTGGAGCTGCGCTCCCAAGGCACGAAGAAGTTTCTCCTTCGCCCCCTGGGTTTAAATACCAGCTTAAACTTGAAACTCTTGAGAGATTAAAGCTTTTCCTCGCTAGGCTTTACGACCTGAGTTCAACATACCGGGCTCAGTCTAAACACGTTGGCTAACCGACCGGCCGCCGACAACGATGGTCGATCACTCACCAGGATCTGCATTGCCGCTTCTCATGCTTTTTGTGCCATCAGATGGTAAACACCTATATTTTGTCATTTTAATGAACAAAACTCCTCTCTGCCACTATATGCATGAGTATCTATAACTTCGCCACCAGGATCCCATGGGGGGTCACGGGACCGCAGCTCGACTTCTGGATCGAGGTTCGTAGACCAGACGTTATTGCATGCGTACCTTAGGTTGTGCGGTTAACTACAGCTGCATAATTCATATTTTGTACTATAACCTTTTAGAATGGCTATATTCCGCCGTTGCTGTATGGAAGCGCAGCCGTTCAGCTGCGTAGATCACAATTTGTACTGCAGTCCTTAAAGAGAGGCAAAGAGAAGGTTCAGTCCTCTAGTTGCTTGGAAGTGCAGTCTCTGTAGATGATGCTTCCATATGGAATTAGCTCTCTCTTCTCCATTTACCCCCATTCAGACTCCAAATTGTCCGCGTTCCAGGTCCCTCGTCCTGAGGCTACCCGTAGCTGTNGTATGCATCATGGATACTGCTGATTAGTTGGAGCTTAACAATCAAGCACAGTTTGTGCACATATGCATTGTAAGGGGCTTGGATATTGTTTTGCTTGCAAACGGTGTTGCAGCCCAGCGCAAGAAGATCTGGTTGAGTGTAACTTACCTGAGACCAATGGCAACACTTGCGGAGTACGTTGCAAGTGCTACATGGGAATGAATGGTGCGTAAAAGCACAAGCATATATGTCTTTCATGTGGAAAAATTAGCCCCTCAGGGTTCCACGTACAGGCAGCTTCAGGGAAAATAACTGCAAGTCGGAGATGGCCGTTTCTCTTGCACACTCGACCGGCCGTTCACACGTCCCCTGTCACCGCATTATACTACCGTAACATCGTCACTGGACTCACTTACAGACAACTTCTGTGAATAAAGACCAAAGAAGAATCTCTCTAGACGACTGGTCTTGCCTTCACTACTTGCGTTCCTCGACAAACAGATCTTCCCAACGGTCGATGCTAGTGAAACAGCGGTTAGAAAGGCGCTCCTCAGCAAGCCGAAAAGTCGGGGAAAGAACACAAAATAACAGTCTTCAGCCATCACCGTTTTTTGGAGAAGGACCGCAACTGTCCAGGACGAGAGGAAGTCTTCGCGCTGATTCGTGAAGCCGCCTACATGGTTCCACATCGGGACTTTCGTATTCTTCCTTTTCCCTTCATTCTCATTACCAATATGTAGGGCAGGGTGTATGGTGCCGTGTAGATGAGACGGCACTGGCAAGTTTTCGGATTCCGGGACAGTGGTGTGCCCCGCTATTAGCCATAATTACTTCGCGCCTGACTGTCACTTCGTAGTTGATTGAGCGTTTTCTTTACGTGGGCATGCATTCCTCATTTCTTGGAGGTCCCAGTATCGTACAAACATTTGGTGAGGATACATTTGTTCGGAGCTTATGAAGTGGTGTAGTGTTACCAGTCAACCAAATTTGCGTGCCTACGTCAATTGTCGGTGGCACAATTTGCCAATGGGTTGTGCTCGTGAGGCTCTCACGTTGAGTTAGTGGTCTTGAGATGGAAGCATAGGAGCCCTTAGTTGAGAAGGCTTACTATTACTTTGGTGGCGCCAGATTCGGGGATGGCGGAGGAAGTTTCAGCTTCTCCCCAACAGCCTACCAAGCGGTGCATGCTCAACCCTGCGGAGAGGGGGAGATCAAGTGTCAGAAATGTCGCCGCATTTTTCCTTCTTTCTGAGCATTTCCCTGCGGCAAATGCTTGCATAGAGGGGGGAATATTGTACTGCCTAGCGCTACAGTGTCAGTGACGGCTAGTCTGGACACATAGTAGGTAACTCACGGTCAGCATAAACATCCCATGAGAAAAGTTCAACTAATCGTCTCATAGGAGTGTAGTAGTATGGGCAGCGCCTATACGAGTGAAACAGCGAGACCATGAAATTGTGTTGGCCTGGCCGGCGAGCGGTGCGAGCACCCCCCAGTTGTGGCGGGACGAGCCCGGGCCGCAACAATAGGGCAAACCGCAAGCCA